ATATTCTCTTTAGTAAAAACCGCACCCCCCTTCGAGAAAAGTGTCTTACGGGCCTGCTTAGATAAATAAAATGTTCTCTGTCATTGTTACATACTTGCTCAAGTTGCTAAGGATACACCAAAATGATTACTTGTTTTGTTTCTTTATTATCAAGAAAATGCAGTCAGGGTATTCTACAATAGTATGTATGTATTTAATCTAGATTCTAACATGATATGTGATGTCACAATGATGAGAACAATTGATTTATTGGTCTATATTAGGGTATGTATGACCTGTAAATTTCAATATGCGATTTCGGTCTTTTAACAATGAACAGAATAAAATTTTCGGTCATATATTGCGCCATAAATCATAGAATCCGGAAGTTTTCTCCAAAACCGCTACAGATATCTCCTTCAAATTTTCAGAGATAACTTATGAGTGCATACAGATGTGGACGAAAGATTTTTAGCGCGATTCCTACTTCCTGTCGGCCATTTTGAAGTCAAATGCTAAAATCCTTGTCTGCAAACTTTAAGAAAAACTGCTCCACAGTTGCTTTTAAAACTTTAACATCTTGTTCAGCTCACTTCATTCTAGATCTGATTAGGTTTTGGACCTGTTAGCTCAGTCATGTCAGCCATTTTGAATGTCTTAAGAAAAGTTAGCGCGCGATTATACTTTGTATCATAATCAATGGTGTTTTTGAGTTTTCATACTTTAACTATTTAGTAGCTTTATAAATAATTTCAGATATATTTTGTTGTAAAAGCCTACTTTATTGTTAAAAGTAGTTATATGTGATAATTTTGTAAAAAGAAATCAGCAAAAACTCATAAGGACTTTTTTATTGTCGGCCATTTTGGATTTTTCGGTCCCAAAATCTTGTCTGTGAAGTCTTGTCTGCGCGTTTTCAGGTGAACCGTTTGGTGGATCAATTTCAAATTTTCAGGGATGATTCTTAGTATAAAAATCTAGATCTCATTAGTTTTTTGGCATTCTGGGTAAATGTCAAGGCAGCCATTTTGGATTTTCCGTCCTAAAATCTTGTCTGTAAAGTCTTGTCTACTCGTTTTCAGGTGAATTGTTTGGTAGATCAATTTCAAATTTTCAGGGATGATTCTTAGTATAAAAATCTAGAACTGATGAGTTTTTTGGCATTCTGGGTAAATGTCAAGGCAGCCATTTTGGATTTTCCGTCCTAAAATCTTGTCTGTAAAGTCTTGTCTACGCATTTCCAGGTGAACCGTTCTGTAGATCAATTTCAAATTTTCAGGGATGATTCTTAGAATGAAAATCTAGATCTGATTAGTTTTTTGGCATTCTGGATAAACGTCAAGGCAGCCATTTTGGATTTTTTGTCTTAAAATCTTGCCTGTAAAGTCTTGTCTACGCGTTTTTAGGTGAACCGTTTGATAGATCAATTTCAAATTTTGAGGGATGATTCTTTGTATGAAAATCTACATTTGATAGTTTTTTTGCATTCTGCGTAAATGTTAAGGCAGCCATTTTGGATTTTTTGTCTTAAAATCTTGTCTGTAAAGTCTTGTCTACCCGTTTTCAGGTGAACTGTTTGGTAGATCAATTTCATATTTTCAGGGATGATTCTTAGTATGAAAATCTACAAACAGATTAGTTTTTGGACATTCTGGGTAAATGTCAAGGCAGCCATTTTGGATTTTCCATCCTGAAATCTTGTCTGTAAAGTCTTGTTTACATGTTTTCCGGTTAACTGTGTGACGGATCAATTTCAAATTTTCAGTGGTGGTTCTTAGTGTGAAAATATAGAACTGACTAAATTTTGGGCATTCTGGGTAAATTTTAAGGTGGCCATTTTGGATTTTCCGTCCTCAAATTGTGTTGGTAAAGTCTTGTCTACTCATTTTCAGGATAACCATTTGACGGGATCACCCATTGGTGGGGACATTTTGTACACATTTGTGTTCTTGTATGTGTGTTATTTTACTTTTTTATTATCCCAACGAACGAAGTTAGTTAGGGATATAGTGAAGCCCTCCGTCCATTAGTCAGTCAGTCCGTCCCTCCGGAAGATAACTCAAATACTAGTTGACGGATTTTCTTCATATTTAGTGGAAAGATGTATATTGGTGAATAGTTTTACAATAGTTTTTTTCAAGATGGCCGCCGCTTTAAAAATGACAGGACTTTTTCGCAAAAATCATAAATTTTTCATTCTAAACCAAAGTAATTAATATTATTGTTTGAAATTTTGGTAGTATATTCGCAACATCTATCTATTTCACATATATTCAGTGTTTTTCATCCTGACCCCCAGGGGCCGTGTATGGGGGGGGGGTCAGAAAAACAGAAATATTCGCTAATTTTTAGATCTTTCTGAAGTATAGCTTTATTATACTCAAATGAAAGGCAATTAAGAGTAGATTGCAAATATTGTATCTTTTTCTGATTGGAGCCTCGTAAAATTCAAAATGGCCGTCTAATGTACGATTTCGCAATAATTTTTCGATCCCTTCAAAGTATGGCTATATTATACTCAAATTGGAGGAATTTTGGAGTAGATCACAATTATGGTATTATTTTTCAGATTTGTACCTCAGAAAATTCAAAATGGCTGCTTTGCAGGAATTCGCAATTCTAAAATCTAAATTTTTCAGTTTTAACCTAAGTAATGAGTATAATTGATTGGAATTCGGTAATTGATATTTTGTTCGTTGGGATTTGCTACTCCGCGGAGTTGCCGTTATCTAGTTATAATTCAAAAAGTAATAGAGCGATTTTGTTCATATTTGATATGTGAATACTATTTTAAGAAATGGCCAGCATTTACATGTATGTGTGTGCGATTTTTAAAAATGTTATATGAGGCTACTTAAAAGCATATTACTTCTTCTGATGACAACTTGGCTAGTGAGCAACCATTTTGAAAATGTTGGCCTTTCTTATGGGTGTTATTTTATGATATTTGCTATATATTTTGTTTGTAAAAATGCAAGCCATTTCTGTTCGATGGGATTCGCTAAGCTTTGGCGTTGCCGTTGTTATGGTTTCAATTACCTGGTGAAAATGATTTGATAATCCATTTGAAAGGTAGGAATGATTGAATATCTCACATAAGAGGTAGGAATGGTTGAATAATCCATTTGAAAGGTAGGAATGATTGAATATCTCACATAAGAGGTAGGAATGGTTGAATAATCAATTTGAAAGGTAGGAATGATTGAATAATTCACATAAGAGGTAGGAATGGTTGAATAATCCATTTGAAAGGTAGGAATGATTGAATATCTCACATAAGAGGTAGGAATGGTTGAATAATCCATTTGAAAGGTAGGAATGATTGAATATCTCACATAAGAGGTAGGAATGGTTGAATAATCAATTTGAAAGGTAGGAATGATGAATATCTCACATAAGAGGTAGGAATGGTTGAATAATCAATTTGAAAGGTAGGAATGATTGAATAATTCACTTGAGAGGAATGATGGAATAATCAATTTGAAAGGTAGGAATGATTGAATAATTCACTTGAGAGGAATGATGGAATAATCAATTTGAAAGGTAGGAATGATTGAATATCTCACATAAGAGGTAGGAATGGTTGAATAATCAATTTGAAAGGTAGGAATGATTGAATAATTCACTTGAGAGGAATGATGGAATAATCAATTTGAAAGGTAGGAATGATTAAATATCTCACATAAGAGGTAGGAATGGTTGAATAATCAATTTGAAAGGTAGGAATGATTGAATAATTCACTTGAGAGGAATGATGGAATAATCAATTTGAAAGGTAGGAATGATTAAATATCTCACATAAGAGGTAGGAATGGTTGAATAATCCATTTGAAAGGTAGGAATGATTGAATATCTCACATAAGAGGTAGGAATGGTTGAATAATCAATTTGAAAGGTAGGAATGATTGAATATCTCACATAAGAGGTAGGAATGGTTGAATAATCAATTTGAAAGGTAGGAATGATTGAATAATTCACTTGAGAGGAATGATGGAATAATCAATTTGAAAGGTAGGAATGATTGAATAATTCACTTGAGAGGAATGATGGAATAATCAATTTGAAAGGTAGGAATGATTGAATATCTCACATAAGAGGTAGGAATGGTTGAATAATCAATTTGAAAGGTAGGAATGATTGAATAATTCACTTGAGAGGAATGATGGAATAATCAATTTGAAAGGTAGGAATGATTAAATATCTCACATAAGAGGTAGGAATGGTTGAATAATCAATTTGAAAGGTAGGAATGATTGAATAATTCACTTGAGAGGAATGATGGAATAATCAATTTGAAAGGTAGGAATGATTAAATATCTCACATAAGAGGTAGGAATGGTTGAATAATCAATTTGAAAGGTAGGAATGATTGAATAATTCACTTGAGAGGAATGATGGAATAATCAATTTGAAAGGTAGGAATGATTGAATAATTCACTTGAGAGGAATGATGGAATAATCCATATTAGAGGAATGAATGATTTGACCATTTTAAATAAACTAGACAACAGCAATGCCAAAGTGTAGCAAGTAATAATAATGATAATTCACATGAGAGGAATGATTTAACCATTTGTGAGAGGAAGTATTGATTGAATAATCCATTTGGAAGGTAGGAATAATTTATGTGAGAGGAAGGAAATGATGGAATGCATTTAGAAGGGCGACAAAATAACACCAACAACATTAAAAAGAGGGTCATTTCTTTTTAATCTACATCTATTAAATAAATAAATATATAATAAATATAAAATCTACAAAATCCATATAGGTGCATATCCAGCAAGAAATCAGACAAACATTAGATGTTCCATTGGATATGCTACGCCTTGGCATTGCTATTATCTAGTTTTTTTGCCAGACAAGATCATGAGATTTATTTCTGTAGTGGGTATGACCTTCTAGAATAAGTAAAGCTCTCATAATCAAGGGACCTTATTATTACCTGTATTGTCTCAGTTTCACAGGTTAGGCTTTATAACAAATCTCACAATTCTATCTTATACATGTTTATATTACAGGACAGGCTTTATAGTGGATCTCACAATTGTATTGAGATGTGGGAAGCAACAGGAAAGTTTGCCTTAAAGGGAAAGATTGATCACCAGTTTGGCTCAATTTATTCATTAGCTGTGACCAGTAAATATATAATAGCAGGTGAGAAGTGCACTAATTTGAGCCAGGTCTATAAAATCCCAGTCTATTGCCAGGTTAAATCAGTCTTGACCAAAAGCAGACACCAAAAGCATCACACATCAAACTTAAATAAAAGACAGTGAAATATTTTCAGATACAAATTCAGCACACTGTTGTCTGTTTTGTTTTTGTCTGTCAATCCATCCTGTCTGTAATGACAGTAAAAATGACAATAAAACTTACTCAAAAGTAATGCAAACCATGCTCATCTTCATACACAGCCTTGAACTTGAGTTTTTTAATGTAATAATTAAAATCAAATCTTGACTAGATGATTTCATTTTGATAATCTAACTTAAGAATGACTGGTCTGGACTCTGGAATTACCAATAACTAAGTTGTGAAATTTAACCATCAAACTTGATGTCCATGTATTACATTTGATTATAAGTATAAAGGTGTTACCCATTTCTAATTTTTAACGAAGTTTTAATTTTTAATAATGAAGTCATTTTCTTATGACAGGATTTTTATTCATTCTTATACAAACCCTCTTTAGATCTATGTACAATTGGTTTTCTTTTCTTTTATGTTTCATAAGGAAAATCCTTTCTTTTTTCAGGAACATATAACAAGAACCTGCATGTATGGGACATCAGCAGCAATCAGTATATACAGGCCCTTTCTGCACATATTGGAGTTGTATCTTGCCTTGGAGTATCCCCATCTGGTAGATTTCTGTTTTCTGGCTCTCATGACACTTCTGTACAGGTGAGAATTTCAAGAATTTCTTGTTCACTATGAATAGTGTAATGTATTGAATTTAGAACACAATAAAAACTTAACATATGTACAGGGTGTCAAAAAACAATGACACCCACTCTACAGCATAACATTCTTAATGTTACATGGTTTGTCATTCCTCATTTTAAAGACAATTGAATTCTGGAGTTACTTGAGAAATTTCATCTTTGCATCATATAATTTTACAGATTTACAACCTATAGTTAGTAGTTAGTATGGCCACTACTTTCTGCTCAATACATCCTTACTGTGTCTGGTTTCAAGAGGCCCCTGTCCCTCAATTCCCCATACTCTGTCTGTCACAACTCTGTCACAATTTAACCCATATGTTCAGCAGCCCAGTTGAAATCTGTTCTATTTCTGTAAAATTAAAATGTAAAAAGTAAAACACACCTTTAAAAAACAATGGAATGAACAGTGTAACCATTTTGAAAATGCCTTAAAACACTGTTCATTGTTCCCAGTTGACAGGTTTTCCACATGTAAGTCAATGGAAGAATATTTGCTTTTTTGAAAACTGTTCCATATAGACATGTGTTCCATAAAGAAAGGTGTAACATCATACAGGTTTTACTGTACTGTAGATACACTTAATTTGGCTACCGTTTTTATTTGACGGATTAGGGGATTAAAAGATATCAAAAATCCCAAGGAAGAACACATGAATCTGAAATGTTTATTTCCAGATCAATGATAAAACTTGAGCTCAGTCCTGACTCTGCCAAATTAAATAGCTGCAAATATTTGAAATTGAGCAAATCCAACAAATTAAGTAGCGTCAAATTGAGTGTATAATGTACAGCTTTCCACTTTTTGAAGATTTGACCCTTAACCAGTAACAGAGTAGCAAATTAAAACAAAGTACTGAAGAAACAAACTTTGAAACAATGTAGGAATATAAGAAGAGCCTTACATAATTGTATCAGATAAAGAAACAATTACATAACTGTTTGATAATGTTGCCCAATCAACATAAAACGGCTTGATTACACAACAAAGTGAAGAATGGGGTTGGGGGTTGGTAAACATTCAACTTCCCTGATATACGAAAGCAATAGTGTAAACCAATCTACTACAGACAGGATAGGTTAAAAATAAATTAGTAATTGCCCTGTACAACTGTTCTCTTTGAAATAAACCAGATTTAACTAAACTTTTTACATCAAAAAATGTCATTATGATATGAAAAATAGTTTATGAATTACATATGTAGGTATGGAACCTAGAAATAATGTTACCAATACAGAACCTGCAGAGACATGAGGAACCTATAAATACACTGATATTACATGATGACTTACTTTTGACTGGTGGAGAAGACTCAGAAATTAAGGTGAATATGTTTAATAGTACAAGTATTTTTCCTGGGAATCAATTAATTATGCTATATTACACAGGTATAATAAAATTAATAAAGATTTCTTCAGCTTAAAAGCAGTTCATAATTTTATAGTGCTGTCCCCAGCTCCGATTTCGGTGATCGGCTAGTATAAAAGGTTTGAGGGTATCATTTTGTTCCAGACACTCGCTAGAGTAAATTATCTTAACTTGAGTAAAAATGTGTGGTAAGTAAATTCGCTATGGGCAGTTAAAGAGGCGCCATCTATTCATTTTCAAATAAGGGTAGGGGTATAAAATAATTTTTAACACATTTTAATAGTAAAATGACATTGGAATACTAATAAAATCTTATCAACAACATTATTTACAATCAGTATGAATTTTCTTGTGTGGATTAGGGTGAAAATAAGGGCATATCTTGAAATTCACTACAGGGGCACCACCTATTTTCGTACTTCTACCACGTGTAATAACTTATTTTAGATTTGTTAAGGTACGGAATGTACTGAAAAAAATCATTCTTAAGGACCTATATATGTTCATACCACATACTTAAAATTGGATCAATAGCTTATTTACCGGGGGAGAAAAAAATTATTGAAATTTAAAATTGTGGCATCATGCAGGATAGGGGTGACCATATCTCACATGATTAACTTTCAAAATATGGAGCATATGTATCTCAAATGTGCTCAAAATGGTGTATGTACTCTTGCTTTGTCATAATATTACTAATAAGAAGTAGAAAAATGATTGTACAATTTCAAAAAATATTAATTCATATTTTGGCTTCTGACGTCCGAGGGGTAACCATATCTCACCTTGATAACTTCCAAAATATGGAGCATATGTATCTCAAATGTGCTCAAAATGGTGTATGCACTCTTGCTTTGTCATAATATTACTAATAAGAAGTAAAAAAATGATTGGTCATTTTAAAAGATATTAATTCTCATTTTGGCTTCTGACGTTCCAGGGGTGACCATATCTCACCTTAATAACTTCCAAAATATGGAGCATTTGTATCTCAAATATGCACAAAATGGTGTATATAGTCTTGTCTTGTCATAATATTACTAATAAGATGTAGGAAAATGATTGCTCATTTAAAAAAATATTAATTCTCATTTTGGCTTCTGACGTCCCAGGGGTGACCATATCTCACCTTAATAACATCCAAATTATGGAGCATATGTATCTCAAATGTACTCAAAATGGTATATGTACTCTTGCTTTGTCATAATATTATACTAATAAGAAGTAGGAAAATGATTATACATTTAAAAAATTTTAATTTTAGCTTCTGACATCCCTGAATAACTTCTAAAATTATGTAACATATACAACTCAAATATACCAAAAATGGGACATATAGTCTTGCTTTGTCATAATGCTATTCATGAGATGTAAAAAAATTATTACACCTTTTTTTAATTGAAATTTTCGCTTCCGAATCTGACATCCCAGGGGCAATTATATCTCACTTTGATATAACTCTCACGATATGTACCCTGCGCGCAGAGTCTAGTTAAACTACACTCTGCCTAGTAGAGACCATATTACAGTTTAGTAGCCCCGCCCCCACGACGGGTACCGGTGACAGTTTGCGTGATAAATAACTTTTGACCTACGCGCTGACCTTTCTTCCACCAATCACCGAGCTTGAAGAAACACACGCCAAATGCGTTCTAATTAAATATGCGCATGTCATTGGTCAATTCCGGGCTCAACGATGACGTCAGAAGGAATGACCATATATAGAACGTCGGTCAATTTTGGCCGACGAACACTGATTGGCGCGGTGAGTTCACAGGTTTATTTTAGTTTGAAAGAGTGAAGACGAAGCTCTCTTTTAAGAAGTGAAGTCAAACGAATGCAAAGGGTACACGATATGCAACATATGCATCTCAAATGCGTGCCCAAAATGGTATAAATATAGTCTTGTTTTGTCATATTTATTGGATTCATGAAATCAGAAGTTCAGAATTTATGGATTTGACTGTCTCCCCTGAAGGGTGCAGCTACATATAGCCCAGAGACAATAAGATCTACTTTAAGTCACTTCTAATCCTGATTGACATTCTCAATGCATGGTTTGTCATGTTGTGCTATATTGTTATTGCCCAATCTCAACAATTGTATTCACTGTATGGCCTACCGTGCCAAGAATAATGCAATTGTTCCAAAAGCTAAGCTCTTCTTTGGGACCCTAGAAGTGTGGGACATCACAATCATAGATTAATATTTCATTACAATCAATGTATGTTGTATGACAAACATGCAAACTAGAGAATGTTAAAGGGGCAATAAGGACTGTAGAGAGAAAATTCAAAAAATTTTATTTTTTCTGAGCTATCAGGTCAATATTTGGCTTAATACCTTCTTTGACATACCTATTTTCATAAAATGTATGTATAAACTATCAATTTCAGCATTAAGAAGTGTAAATTCAATTCAAAGCTTCTATAAAGGGAGTCCCACTTATAGATTTTTAAGATCCACCATGTTTCAAGAGGAATATCAGCTGAAATAATGTTCATCCAGAGGGTTTCTTTGTAGATAATGAAAATATATGTTATTCTTGATGAAATATCCAAACCTAAATATATTTTGACACTTGTCGATGATCGTTGAATGGCCCCCTGCACTATTTGTAGCACCTTTAATGTGGCTAGAAAGATTTATCATTACAAAGAGCTCCTTTTCCCATATTTTACATACTCAAAATCCCTTAATTCAGTGTATAATCCAAGGTGAATATATTGCAGGCCACAGGATAACATATTAACACCTTACATTAGCAGTTGCCATTACTTCATAAATGGAGTAAAGTACTCCCACTATTGACAGGCTAAAAGGATTCCTGTATGGATTACAAAAGATGTTGGGTCCAAGGTATGCAAGGGAATAATCTCATCCATTGTACTTGTAAAGGGTGTTTGGGGAGCAGATGCAAATATTTGAAAGCAGATATTATTTGCCCTGAATTATATATACAGAATGTAGCTGTAGAGGAGACAGTCAAAATCCATTGATTCTGATCTGTTGATTTCATGATTCTCAATAAATATGACAAAACAAGACCATTTTTAGCACATTTGAGATGCATATGTTGCATATCGTGAGAGTTATCAAGGTGAGATAGCCCCTGGGACACCAGAGGCTAAAATAAAAATTAAAAAAAAAATACAATCATTTTTCTACATTTCATTAGTAATATGAAAAAGACAGGACTTTTATGAGAATATTTGAGGATTATATGTTACGTATCTTAGAAGTTATTATTATATGGTGCGATATGATTACCCAGGAACGTAAGAAGCTAAAATTAAAATTTTTGAAATGTATAATCACTTTTCTACTTCTTATTAGTAATATCATGACAAAGCAAGAGTGCATACACCTTTTTGAGTCCATTTGAGATACATATGCTCCATATTTTGGAAGTTATTAAGGTGAGATATGGTCGCCCCTGGGATGTCAGAAACCAAAATGAGAATCAATATTATTTTAAATGTACAATTATTTTTTTTACTTCTTATTAGTAATATTATGACAAAGCAAGAGTACATTCACCATTTTGAGCACATGTGAGATATATGCTCCATATTTTGGAAGTTATTATATTAAGGTGAGATATGGTCACCCCTGGGACGTCAGAAGCCAAAATGAGAATTAATATTATTTTAAATGTACAATCATTTTTTTTTACTTCTTATTAGTAATATTATGAAAAAGCAAGAGTACATACACCATTTTGAGTACATTTGAGATACATATGCTCCATATTTTGGAAGTTATTAAGGTGAGATATGGCCACCCCTGGGACATCAGAAGCCAAAATGAGAATCAATATTTTTAAAAATATACAATCATTTTTCTACTTCTTATTAGTAATATTATGACAAATTAAGAGTACATACACCATTTTGGGTACATTTGAGATACATATGCTCCATATTTTGGAAGTTATTAAGGTGAGATATGGTCACGCCTGGGATGTCAGAAGCCAGAATGAGAATCAATATTTTTTTAAATGTACAATCATTTTTCTACTTCTTATTAGTAATATTATGACAAAGCAAGAGTACATACACCATTTTGAGTACATTTGAGATACATATGCTCCATATTTTGGAAGTTATTAAGGTGAGATATGGCCACCCCTGGGACATCAGAAGCCAAAATGAGAATTAATATTTTTTAAAATGTACAATCATTTTTCTACTTCTTATTAGTAATATTATGACAAAGCAAGAGTACATACACCATTTTGAGTACATTTGAGATACATATGCTTCATATTTTGGAAGTTAATCATGTGAGATATGGTCACCCCTATCCTGCATGATGCCACAATTTTAAATTTTAATAATTTTTTCCTCCGCCAGTACAAAAGCTATTGATCCAATTTTAAGTATGTGATATGAACATATATAGGTCCTTCAGAATGAATTTTTTCAGTACATTTCGTACCTTAACGAATCTAAAATAAGTTATTACATGTGGTAGAAGTATGAAAATAGGTGGCGCCCCTGTAGGGAATTTCAAGATATGTCCTTATTTTCACAGTAATCCACACAAGAAAATTCATACTGATTGTAAATAATGTTTTTGATAAGATTTTATTAGTATTTCAATGTCATTTTACTATTGAAATGTGTTAAAAATTATTTTATACCCCTACCCCCTGTTTGAAAATGAATAGATGGCGCCTCTTTAACTGCCCATAGCGAATTTACTTACCACACATTTTTACTCAAGTTAGGATAATTTACTCTAGAGAGTGTCTGGAACAAAATGATACCCTCAAACCTTTTATACTAGCCGATCACCGAAATCGGAGCTGGGGACAGCATCATTAAAAAGAAACTTGTTTTGTAAGTATTGTAATAATTGTTTGTGTTAAATAAATTGTTTAAAATACTATACTATTTTCATTCAATTTAAACCAAAAATCTTAAATCAATCACTGGCAGATCTGGGGGGGGG